CAATAATTACAACGGAGTATTTCTAAATATAAGTTGTACAAATTATATGTATTTAATACTAATAACATAATGATTTATTTTACTTTCAGATGATAATACTTTTCACTTGGGCTATTGACAATTTTGAATGCAGGACATTTGTTTCTAACACGTCTTTTTACCTAGGTAAATAATCGGAATACTTCTTCCACCTCGGATTTTAACCTATCACTGTTTTTAAAACTTTAATTAAATGTTTGATATTTCCAAAGACCCTTTCAGACCGGCAATGCTGCCCTGCATGTAATTCCGACAGTCCATCGGAATGTGACAAAAGTCAGAAGTCTCCCATCCCCCTTGGGAGACTTTCTCCACACATTCCGATGGGCAATTAGTTTTAAACAAAGAGTCCGCAACTAATGGCGCATTTCCACTACACGGCCTCGCTCGGCCTCGCTCGGCCTCGCTCGGTATGGCTAGGCCTCGTTAGGACTGGCTCACTTTATGGCGCATTTCCATTACAGTTTAGGAACTGGGGTAGTATCTATAGTAACGCAGTGTAGGCGGAGCCGTGACGTCATCTTCAATGAGAACCCCAGAAAAAACAACACAGCCGTTAGCTGTTAGCACTCAGAGCTCACAGCTCCTCATATCTGTTCAGAAACTAGACAAAAGTTAAACAAGTACAAACCACAGACTGCCTGTGTCATGGAGAATACAGTCGCTGCTTTATTTATGTCTGTATAGGCCGTTGTTGTGAGTGTGGACGGTCGGAGCATATAGTGCGTTAGCTTAGCCAATCTCCATTTAGAAAACACACATTTTAAAAGGTTTTTTCCCCTGCCGTCTGTCTGCAGACTTGTCAAAGCATTAATTCATGGTTTTTACTAACCGGTATCAGTATGTTGTTACTTTGGCATAATTTTGAAACGTGTATTACAATTAAATCACGGTCAAATATGTCCATCTTGTTGTAGTTGTAGCCCCCTTGCCAGCGATTCTCTCTCTAGTTTAGCATACTCAGCCCGACTCAGCCTCGTTGTCTCTGGCCCTAGAACCACGATTTTATGAGGCCAGAAAAACTGTGAATTAGGACCCGCCGGCCGGTACTAGGCCAAGTGGAAACGCAACCAAAGACGGGCCGCTGACGTCACAGCCCTCTTAAACCGTGCTCCGCGCTGTAGTGGAAACGCGCCAATAGACTACTATCTCTTGTTAACAGAGGGGGGATGGTAGAGTTTTGTCACACCGTTTCAGGGTTAATGAATAGTGGATAGGAGAATTCAAAAGGATTTAGGAGAAGAGACTGCAGTGCTTTGAGAATCCGACTGCACTTACACTATCGACGTATTTATGATGCGCCAGCGGACGTCATGAATGTGCGTCTGCTGCTGTGGGGAAACTACAGTTTTCTATTCAGCGGACTACATGATGTAGGCTATAATAAGAATAACAACCCAGCGCTGTATTCTATCTAGATACTTTACACCGCGCTCCCACTTGTTGTACCTGACAGAGCAAGAAACACTCCAGCCTTTTATTTAAACTTGTTTAAAACTTATCTAAATAAATATGTATGTCCCGGGCCATGAATGCAATTATGCTGTCAGTTTTCAGATAAAGCCACCACACCAGCTTTTATGGAGAAAACAAGTTATATAATAATTAACCAGAGGCATGTTTCTCACTATTTTATGCATAGAAACAACAGGCTACTGTGTGTGTGAGGAATCAGCTGTTTATTTCATGCTGGAGAAGAGAGATCATGGGGTGGGGGGAGAGCTGTGGCTGATGGGCCATTAGGTGTGTAAACACACAGCTAATCACCTGAGAGCTGCCGTTTCATTCAGACTATTTAAAAAAAAATCTGATTTTAACATTGCACAACAATGAACTCAATGTGTGATTGTTATAGCAGTAATATTAAACACTAATATTACAGTAAACTATTAACAATAGTATAATATTATAGCCCGTTTGCCCATGGTGAGATGACGAGGCTTCATTAAAAATAAACCTCTTTTTAGTGAATTACTGAGTTTGGGCAAGTGAATAAAGTTTTAATGAAGTTGACTACAGTATATTCATATTTGTCAGTGCTTTCATGTCAATTCGGCGAACATAAACATAAATGATCATGGTGAAGATGATGATTAAATTAAGAGTAAAAATCGGTAGTGAGGGCACTGCATTTCCTCCCGTCGGATGTGATATAAAAACAAACCGATTATTTTTGTAGTGGTAAACTCACGTGGATTAAACCACATTCATTAGTGCTTTCATGTCAATTCGGCGAACATTATGATACATTAAATGATCGTGAGGATGATGATTAAAAATCGTTTGTATGAGCCGGTCTGCATTTCCTGATGAAAAAACATAGCGATGGTTTTGTACTTACACCAACGTGGATTAAACAACATTATTTTGTTAAATAAAAACATGGTGATGTTTTGTAAATGATTACATGTCTCTTATTTAGCACAGAATATGATCCTATCCGTGACATATGGATCTTAACAAAGATCCGCTATATCAGATACCTGTAGAGATCTATCAGCTGTTTATTTCACATGAGTTCCACTGTGGCAGCTTTTTAATCACTGCTCCCCCTGGTGGATCCATGATCCATTGCAGCTGGTTTCATTATAATTTAATTTATTTATCAAGGGGGCGTATCAAGTCCTGCGGGGGTTTTTCCTTTCAGCAGAGGCCCACCCCGTGCCGATCACGGGCCCACATGGGTAGGGGCGTCCGAAATGAGGTGCTACATCTGTACGTTGAAAAATTAAGCAACAAAATTAAACAAAATGCCTCTTGAGGGCATGAAGTGACAACAACTTTCAACATGTCTCCATTAAGGCCCATTGTAAATTCAGCCTGATCTATCCTCAGAGCAGCAGCTGCACACCTATAGTGAAAATAGCCAAAAGTGCCTCATTATTGACCTGAAAGTGCACAAAAAGCACACTTCAGATGCTCAGGGTCCTTGACATGCTTCACGTGTTGACATTTTACCGAAAGCAGCTACCGTTTTTAAACTATAGTTAGAAATGTAAGAGGTTTATTTTCTTGCACATCTCAAAACATTCTTTTGCACTATTTTATGTGTTTTATTTGTTTTATGTTCTATATATATTCATGTTGCACTGTTGGAGGAGCCTGTGACTTAAAGGTCACCTATTATGCAAAATGCACTTTTTTATGTCTTTTATACATAAATATGTGTGCCAGGTGTGTCAGGAGACTCACAAAGTGTTAGAAAATACAACCCTCTCTCTTTTCCTCCTTACCCACATCTCTAAAAACGGGGGTACAACGGAGCTGATCCAGATTTGCTGCGTCATGACGACATTACAAACATTTGGGCTGGCTTTACACCCATGGCCCTATCAGAAACGTCGCTATCAGAAACAATGCGCAACGTGTTTTGGACGTAATATGGTCTGTGTTTACATTAGCAAGCATCGCTAACACTCAGAGCTAACCTGTACTGGAGAGATTATGTATAAAGAAGCAGGATATAAAAAGGTACTCACCTTATGGTCAACCCGCAAGAAAAAAACATTTGAGCTCCATACTGTTTCAGAAATAATGCTTGATGGGGTTTTGAACATGATATGGTGTATAATCACGGCAGCATTTAGCTGAGTATCTGGGTAGAATTCTCCTGCATGAGTTCCCCCGCCTCTTTTTTGTTTTGTTTTTCCAAAACAAATGTTGTTTTAAAGCTACGGACCCAGAATCAGCACCTCGCAGAGGGGGCCTCACCTCGCGGAGGGAGCCTCACCTGAAGCGCAAATGCAGTGCAATTAAGCGCGCCACAGTTTCACCGCTGCGAGGCTCCGGCGCTCGCAGTTCACCTGCGTGCCCCTTTTTACCGAAATGAAACACAAGTCTAACGCAGAGCGTCTGAATTAGCACTAAGCGAAAGAGTGCTAACGCACTTAGCACATAACTCACGGTATAAATATGTTATACTTCATCGGATCTGCACAATCTAGATATCATATGAAAGCTGAGATTCCACAGATTCCAATGGTATAAGTATCATCACTGTGCGACCAAAACTCACGGCATCGAAAGCCAGCAAAGACAACACACAACTTCACTTTACGGGGGCCAAAACGGCAAATACGTCTTACCTTTGCTGTTTTCTGATCAAAAGTTGTGTTCAATGGCATTAAAACGCATATAAACGCTGCTGAAGGTTAATACAATGTCTCTGTGTCACTTTGAAATGATTACTGATAATCCATCATCATATTTATGGCAATAAGCCAAGTTTTCAGTTTTCAGTTTTCAGAGCGTAACATAGCTTTCGGTTTGGGCAAACTGCGTGCGTATCACTCTCACTCCTCAATGGTAACGTGTAGGTGGATTTAGGGACTCCCCCTCAATTATATTGGCTCTAATGGTTAAAAAGTGCTGTCAATCACCAAAATCGATCAATGGGTTCCAGAGATATGGCGAATACACCCAAATGACCCCAGAGGTGGGTTCTTTTTTCTAAACCTCTCTAAAAAGGTCATATTTCACTTGTTTTGCATCAATCTTGATACAGGGTACTTATTATATGTTATAGTTTGGATTCCTAAAGCTTTTTGTCTACTATCCCATCATTCAAGGGTGGTTTTCACTATAAGTAATGGTTTTGTTTTGGACGGAAACTATAATTTACATTTTTTTACTATGTTCAATCTGAATTTACTTTAGAGTAAAACATCTATATTGATTCTGACTTTTCTACATCCAACTCACAGGTGTATCATTGCTTTGAGAAAAAAGATTATTAATTTACCCCTTTTAGAAGTGAAGATATAGTCATTTGTTCTGGGCATGTCATTTTTTAGCCTGAAACCTGAAAAACAGGCTTGGGGTTTAACAGCTAACAGTTAACAGTTAAGTTTTTCATTGCCATATCTACACTGCAGCTACAGTGCACATGATACATGATAAAGCCTTGAATTGAATTGAGATGAAAATGCAGTGCTAATAAATCTTTTTATTTTTATTTCAAGATCAGAACACCTTAGATCTGGCCCTTTCCACCATCATCATGGATACAGAGGCTAGTCACATGCTGGAGGCAGCCCTGGAGCAGATGGATGACATCATTGCAGGTATGAGCTACAAGGTAGCTGAGTTGTCTTTGTGTATAGAGTGGTGCAGGGATGACGTATTTTTGTAGGCCGACCTAAATAAACTGCGCATGGGTTCCCTCGACAAAAAAGCAATGGGATTTCTCCATAGGATTTTGGAAAATAGCTCGAAATAAGTTCTGTGGAAAACAAACCTGTTTGATAAATGCACGTTTTGTTCAGCCGGATAATATCCACATGTCTACCCTATTTTTATCATTTTTTAATCATAAATCGAACAGCCAGAAGCAAAATGCTAACGTTATGCTATAAACGAACTACAGCCGAGTACGACTTCAACGTCACGCCAACTTAAGATCGATATTCAAAAATACAGATTCAAAATTGTACAAGTTGAAGCGTTTGTTTTAACAGTTTGCAATAGCGCAGGTACTTGCTTTCAAGCAGAACAGAGCAAACAAACTTAGCGGGAGTGTTTACGTGTTCGGCGTAATGACGTGCAACGTCCTCGACAACTTCTGAAGTCCTATTCAGCCACTTGTTAACAACCATCGTTTTTCAGACACGTAAACTCTTAAAAAATCACCAGTGATGAAACACTGCTGATGTATTTAATGTCGTAGAACAAAACGTGATCCGTCTCTTAAATTTGTGTCAACAACAGACCTTATTTCCAGCTATTTTCCAAAATCCTATGGAGAAATCCCATTGACTCTGAGACGAGGGAACCGGAAGTGGTAAAATGCTGACTCACTTCCGGGTTTTAGGACTCGTCACTGCACCACTCTATTGACTCCCATGGTAGTTTCTGGAAAATCTGCTGCATTTTTTGATTTTGTCAATAATGTATCATCTGTATTATCTTTAGTTGATGAGTGGAAGACACAGGATATCACATGCTCAGGTCCAACAACCAACACCATTCTTTACAATCATATTGACCTATCCCTATTATTTTATAGAATATATTTTTTATGATTTGAGCAGTTTACAGTAAAGCTGTAACGGTCCCCCAAATGAGAGTTGACTTGTGAAATGCATTAAATATGCCAAGTTTCTATAATGAATTAGAATTTAAGAACACGCACACCCATGCGATTTATTGATGGTGTGTATGGGAATCAAAAAGCTGGACCATTTCAACAAATGAGAAATTAAGCAAAACCTTTCGTGATGAATGTCAAATAAGTTGCAAATTCAGAACAATATTGGCATCCTTAAATTAGAATGTTATTGGTTTATTACTGGTAGATTATCTGAGCTATTACCAGAGCGAATGCATTTAACTACATTTCATTTTTTTTTTTACCTTTTATCACCTTCTATATCTTACATTTAATTATTTTACATTGTGGGGCAAAAGGTCCATAATAGTAGGAATAATAATAATTATATAATTTTAGGCTATATGTTTTTGAGCAGCATAGTTACTGATGTTGCTGAGGACACTCTGATCAAGGGACCATGTGCAGTCATATCAATCCCCAGATTTTTTTGATTTGTCGAGCACAACACTTTGGATTCATAATATTGTAGGTTGAACAGGAAAATAAAGAGTTTTCAAAGCTCCATACAGGGTGCGCAATGGCTGGTAATACACCTAGCAGATCAGTTTTGTTTTGCAAGAATATTTCAGTTTTATTCTAAGTAATAGTCTGTTCTCAACTCTCTGCTTCACACACTCTCCAGGTTCCAAAGCAGCAGTGGTGGAGTTTTCTAACAGGATGTATGAGCAGGGTTCCCCCGTCAGTGGCGCTCCCCTTCAGTTAGCTGAGGAGCTCAAACTTGCCTTGGAGCTCCAACAAAACCAGGAGGAGAGAGACAGCCTGAGAGCACAGCTGCCTGCAGGAACAGCACAACTTCTCATAGACTGGTTGCAGACTGGAACTGTGAGTACTTCACAGTGAAATACTTCAATTCAGCTTCCACATGTATAGTCTTATGTAAGATAATGTTTGCTTTGGTGTACAGCCACACCAACAAAATAATTAAAAGATCCAGTTCTTATGCCTTTATTTGTGTTTGAGCTTTGAAGGCAGTCACAAAGGGTTTGTTAGATGTTGAACATGAAGAAATGGCTGAAGATGAGCAGCAGTCTTGACTTCTGCTCGGTTAATTATTCAGGCTGTCCAAGCTTGAATACTTTTTTTTTTTCCTTTTGCAGCATTTAGTTTTGTCCTTTCCACTAGTTGTGTGCATGTGTGTGTTTATGTGTGTATATATATATATAATTATTGGACAAATAAGAATTTCACCTGATGATGGCGCTGCATACAAATTCTGAGGATCACCACATTGGAAATCAATCCAAGGGATGGGAACAAAGCTACACTAAAGGAAAGTTCATACATCTACTGCCAGCAGAGTTCAGCAGATTCAGGTTCAAAGGGTCTCCTATGTGTATAGTGTGAGATCTTTAAGAGCTTTGCATTGGGGTAAGAGCTTTGTATTTGTATAGGATTTTAAATTGTAATTCAACGCTCACCATGTTTTCATTGCATGAAAATGTTATTGTTGCAAACAGCAATCTCATCATTACTTTCAATTACAGTGATTGCAAAGCTAGGGAAGGGAACATGGGGAGGTTTGGGAGGTTTTCCTCTGAGACACTACACTGTAAAAAAAAAACTCGTAAAAAAAACGGTCAAAGTACTGGCAGCAGCAGCTGCCAAACAAAAACCCTTAAATTAAAGTAAAATACTTTAACTGAAATAAAGTGAATAAGCCATTAATTTACGGGAATTGTCCTTAAAGATTTTACAGGAAAACACTGTAATTTTACAGATTTATCTGCTCTTTTTACAGTCAATAACCTTTAATAAAAGTACAGCACTAATACTTTAACGTGCAAACACTGTAATTTTACAGATGTATCCTCTCTTTTTACAGTCAATAACCTTTAATAAAAGTACAGCACTAATACTTTAACGGGCAAAAAACCCGTAAAAAAACGGTCAAATGACTGGCAGCAGCGGCTGCCAAACAAAAACCATAAAATTAAAGTAAAAATACTTGAACTGAAATAAAGTGCAAAAGCAATTAGTATACAGAAATTGTCCTTAAAGATTTTAGAGGAAACTTTCCTCTCTTTTCAAAATCCATTGTCTTAAAATGTTACATTCAAATACCTTAAATAAAGTTCTGATGAGAAAAACAGTTTTTTACATTTTTTTTTTATTAGATTTGTATGATCAAACACTAAAATAAATACAGAACCTAAAGTTCTACAGCTAGAATACTGTTATTTTACAGCTTTTTTCTAACATTTTCCAATCAAACAGGTTCAATAAAATCACAAAATGTTCTGTAGGAAACAATTACTCTGAAAACTTAAAATATAAAAATATTTGTAGAATTATAGTACAACTAATGAATACAGCATTTCATATTTAAACATCATACTTATAAACAGTAGAAACAAAAAGTAAGTTGAATTTTTTAAGAGTACTTTGAAACATTCTAAACTGAAAATAACAGAAATTACAAAATGGCAACATATGTTCACATTGTCAATTTGAAGGAGCAGTGTGCAGGATTTAGTACGTCTAACAATGGGGATGTAGGAGAGAGGTTTTGGTCCTGATGGAGAGAGGTTCTGGTCCTGATGGAGAGAGGTTTTGGTCCTGATGGAGAGAGGTTTTGGTCCTGATGGGGAGAGGTTCTGGTCCTGATGGAGAGAGGTTTTGGTCCTGATGGAGAGAGGTTTTGGTCCTGATGGGGAGAGGTTTTGGTCCTGATGGAGAGAGGTTTTGGTCCTGATGGAGAGAGGTTCTGGTCCTGATGGAGAGAGGTTTTGGTCCTGATGGAGCGCAGCCTCCTGCCAGAGGGGAGGGGGGTGAACAGTTTGTGTCCAGGGTGGGAGGGGTCGGCCACTATCTTTCCTGCCCGCCTCAGGGTCCTGGAGGCATGCAGGTCGTGGAGGGATGGCAGATTGCAGCCGATCACCTTCTCTGCAGAGCGGATGACACGCTGCAGCCTGCCCTTATCCTTGGCTGTGGCTGCAGCGTACCAGATGGTGATGGAGGAGGTGAGGATGGACTCCATGATGGAGGTGTAGAAGTTTACCATCATCGTCTTTGGCAGGTTGAATTTCTTCAGCTGCCTCAGGAAGAACATCCTCTGCTGGGCTTTTTTGATGAGGGAGCTGCTGTTCTGCTCCCATTTGAGGTCCTGGGCGATGATGGTGCCCAGGAAGCGGAAAGACTCCACAGCAGTTACTGGGGAGTCACACAGAGTGATGGGGAGTCACACAGAGTGATGGGGAGTCACACAGAGTGATGGTGAGTCACACAGAGTGATGGGGGCTGGCGGGGCTGCGTTCTTCCTAAAGTCCACAACCATCTCCACTGTCTTGAGAGCGTTGAGCTCCAGGTGGTTTTCCCCACACCAGGTCACCAGATGGTCCATCTCCCACCTGTAGGCAGACTCGTCCCCACCAGAGATGAGTCCGATGAGGGTGGTGTCGTCTGAACTTCAGGAGCTTGACAGACTGGTGACTGGAGGTGCAGCTGTTGGTGTACAGGGAGAAGAGCAGAGGGGAAAGAACGCAGCCTTGAGGGGAACCGGTGCTGATGGTCCGGGAGTCAGAGACGTGTTTCCCCAGCCTCACGTGCTGCTTCCTGTCAGACAGGAAGTCTGTGATCCACCTGCAGCTGGCAGAGCTTGTCTTGCAGCAGAGCTGGGATGATGGTGTTGAAGGCAGAGCTGAAGTCCACAAACAGGATCCTGGCGTAGGTTCCTGCTGTGTCCAGGTGCTGGAGGAGGAAGTGAAGTGATAACTATTAGTAAACCATAATGATGGATGTTATTATCAGCAGCTGCCAATAGATCCCCTAAATCTTGTATGATCGATCACACGCACGCACGCACGCACGCACGCACGCACGCACGCACGCACGCACGCACGCACGCACGCACGCACGCACGCACGCACGCACGCACGCACGCACGCACGCACGCACGCACGCACGCACGCACGCACGCACGCACGCACGCACACACACACACACACACACACACACACACACACACACACACACACACACACACACACACACACACACACACACACACACACACACACACACACACACACACACACACACACACACACACACACTATTGAGAGCATCCCAAGGGCATTGATTATTTCATAAGTTTAGAAGGGGGGAACATAGTCTAACAACAGTTAGCTTTTGTTAATTTTACCTCGAGCCAAACTTGTGAGACTTCTTTCTGAAATCCCTTTCTCTTAAAGTGAATAAAAAACAAAAAAAACAATGGAGCTTACCCTAAAACTAACCACTGGATTGCTTGTCTAACATGACCTAGTCCATAAATGAGGTACGGGTGGGAACAATCAAACGCACCCTCCCAGGCACTGCGTGTTAGCGAAGTACGACTGGGATTTCGAAGAGGAAGATATGCTTGGTCAATTCTTAATAAAAAAGAAAAACCAACAAATTGAGCACTTCAGTTTTCATTAGCAGTGCCTAGCTACAGCTGCGGAGCTTCGGTCAATACCACTAACAGTCTATTTCCTTAAAATTAGGGATGTCCCGATCACCTTTTTTTGCTCCCGATCCGATTCTGATCATTTGATTTTGACAATCTGCCGATACCGATTTTTCCCGATCCGATCTTTATGCAATGCATTAAGAGGGAAAAAAAGGAGAAAAGCATTCAAGTTGTCCCTTAAACCCCACGTTCTCCACCACAGATAACGGCTGGTCATCCAACGCGATGAATTCAGCTATCTTGGCTGTTATTTTTTTGGCCTTTTCACTGTTCTGGGGCAGTTTCTCTTTCCTTTTAAAAGTCTCTGAAAGTGTCGGTTGTTTCAGTGCCGTTACCTGAGTGGCCGCTGTGTACTCGTCGTGTTGTTGTTGGTGTTTGTGTTAGATTGGTCGTGTTGAACGTAGCTCTGTTCTTTCCACCACGCGGAACCTCCGCCTTGCAAACATTGCATCTGGCTGTTACACTGCCTTCGCTTTCAATTTTATAATACTTCCAAACTCCTGACATTTTCTCTGTCCCGACTCCAGAGGCACCAGCTGAACGTAGCCTCTCGTTAGCTTACTGCTACTATTAGACACTGCGCCCACTCTGTTGCCAGATTTGAGAGAAATAAGCAACCAGGTTGATGAAAACAAGCCCAAAAGAAGCAACACATACATGATGTTGTGTAATTTTAAACCAAAACTAAGGCCTCAGGATGACTTTAAGACGTGAACATGGTCATTTTTGTTTTGTAACATTAAATAAATGAAAAATATTTTATAAAAAAATAAATTCCCGATCCCCGATTTTTTGAAAATCACGTGATCGGCTCCGATCCCCGATCACGTGATCGGATCGGGACATCTCTACTTAAAATGGTACATATCGCTGAATCTATATTTTCATCTTCAGGTGATTAAATCTGCATAATGTCCCTGTACAATAAGATTCGAGCATTTTGTAATCCAGTGAGGAAATTCAAGACCAGTAAATATTGATTGATTGACTAAATAAAATGTTAGTGTTTTCTTCAAACTCAGACTCTCTGCTGCGGCTGTACCTTAAAAGACAAAACAATTGTCTGATGATCTTTGTTGAACAAGGTCTGATTGTCCTGTACATGTACAATGTGGGGTATTTTTAAATACTTTACTAAACCACATTCAATATTATGTTAGACACAAGTTAGTTATTACTCACATATCAAAGTCGTTTCATCTGCAAGATGGAAGAAGAATAGCTGGGTGCTGCCTGGAGAGACTGATGAGAGGGACACAGGCTGGCTTCAGCAGCTTTCCACACAAAGCCATCACATCTTCGCTTCCATAGTCTTCACTGTCCACTGGTGTTCTGTCAAAAGAGTGAACATCACAGCTGTCATGTTAACCCTTTGTTACACAACATACAACCAACATGCGTCAAAAGTGACGCGAATTAGTTTTAATTGTAAATATCTTTGCAATAAATTACTTTAACCATTCAGGATTCCAGGTATTCCTCAATTAACCTGTTTTGGATCAACACCAATTCTAATATTTACTTTCTTACTTTTTGAATACAAATCATGTTTGTATCACTACACTTCTAAGGGACAACATGGGT